CTGATTCTGTAGAGGAAAATGATAATCTGTCCACAATTGATAAAAAATGTTTTGATGTTTGCAACAATTTTAAATTTTCAAACTGGAAGAATACGCCCCAAAGCAAATATACTAATTTGGAAACCAGCATAGGGAAACGTGCTGGTGAGTCGGTTAAAAGAAAGTTGTTTTTCGAAACTGAGGGGTATCCAGAAGTTGAAAAAATACGTATTCTTTCAGATATAACGGTGAAACATTCAGAAGACACCAACCCATCTGTAAAGAATCTTTTGTATACTGGATTATGTTATTCTTGTACTTATAACATAACTAAATCTAAAATTGGAATAAAATGTCAATTTTGTATTAGAGGCTATCATATTGGCACTTGTGCAAAGAATCAACAAGAAATCGAAAACTTAGATAACTTTGTGTGTTCTGCCTGCAAAAACAAAAAAACGAACTTCAAAAATCAAGAACTTTGTAATGGCCAATGACTGTAATTTTATATGCCAATAACTATGTTTGTATGGCCAATAACTGTCTAGTTTTATAAGTTTTTAAATTTGTGTTAATTTTGAATATCTATTATTATTTTTACTTAAAATAATATGACTTTTTGTAAAATTTGATGTTTCATTATCATTAAGAAACCCTTACAAAATATTTCACTTTAAAAGATACCAAATTACAATTTTAATTCAATTCGCTGTCCCTTAAGTGGCCAATGACTGTACCGGTTACCCTAGGTCACATTTTGTTATATTTTTAGTATAAATAGTAACTGGCACAGTGCCAATAACTGTGGTTTGTAGTGCCAATCACTGTACTTCGCCTGTGGTCGGAGCCTTTTAGAAACATTCTTTTTCAGCGAAAATGCCGAAACCACAACTTGATGCAAAGTACTCAAAAAAATACAACAATGAAGATTTAGACAAAGCTATTGTAGCTATAAAAAATGGTATGCCTAAAAAAACAGCAGCACGGGAATTTGGGGTTCCAAGATCTACCTTGCAGTTCAGATTAAGCAGTAATTTTACACGGACGCAACATGGTCCCCCTCCAGTATTAACCAACGAGGAAGAAGAACTGCTAGTTAAGTGGTGCCTAGATTCGCACAAGAAGGGATTCCCCCAGAGAAAAGAAAATATGCAATCAAGTGTCCAACATTTTTTAGAAAGTCACCCACGACCCAATCCTTTTAAAAACAATTGTCCAGGTGATGGGTGGTATAAAAGCTTTTTGAAACGTCACCCTACATTAACCCAAAGACAAGCGGAACCAGTAACAGCAGCAAGTTCTGCGGTAAGTGAAGCTGATATACGTAAATGGTTTCAAAATATCCAAGACTACCTGACAGAAAAAGGCCTAATGGGGGTTTTGCAATATGCAGATAGAGTGTACAATTCTGATGAAACGAATTTTCAATTATGTCCAAAAACTAAAAACGTACTCGCACCAAAAGGAGCACGTAATGTTTATGAAGTAGATAGAGGTCAAGCAAAAGCTAATCTAACCGTTTTGTTCACATTTTCGGCATCTGGGGTAACTACTCCTCCAATGATAATTTACCCGTACAAGAGATTGCCTGCTGAAATTGTACAATCAGTTCCCAGCGAGTGGGGGATTGGGATAAGCGAAAATGGCTGGATGAAAACCGAACTCTTCTACGAGTATGTAGCTAACGTGTTTCATCCATACTTGGTTAAACATAAAATAAAATTTCCAATTATATTGTTCGTAGATGGACACAGCACCCATTTGAATTTTAAATTAAGTGAACTGTGTACCAAACTAGAAATTGTCCTCATTTGTTTGTACCAAAACTCAACCCGTATTCTCCAACCAGCAGATGTGGCAGCTTTTAAACCTCTGAAAAGTTATTGGAAGAAAGGGGTCCTTGAATGGAGACAACAAAACCCTACGATTGGGCTTACAAAAGAAAAGTTTGCTCCCATATTAAATAAGGTAATAGCTCAACTTAATCCAGAAACGATTAGAAATGGATTTCGTGCATGTGGACTGCATCCATGGAACGCAAACGCTTTAGATTATTCAAAATGCCTCGGAAAAAGCAACAATCAGGCTACCCGAAACGATCAAACTTTAACTTATTCTAAATTTGTTGACATTGTGGGAAAGGATAAAATACATCATATGCAAAATTTTAATAGAGATAACAATCCCGACGCAACTTCAGACTTTCTCCTTCTGCTTCAGATTTATCAGGCATTCCAAAAGAATGAAGCACCAACTCCCGAGTCAATACCCATTGGGAACCCTACAGACGATACTTTTATTCACAACCAATATCAAACAGATGACACTAATACGCAAGATTGTCAAAAGGTACAGTCGCAATCAAACGAAAATTCCACATTACCCGAACAGCGCATTGATGAACCTGTTGGAATTATAGAAGATATTGCTCAGCAGGGCCCACAAGACGTTCTTATTGCAGTAGAGAACCAGCCAGATGTGATAGATTGCGACATTTCGGAGATGGACATTTTACTTCAAAATGAAAACAACGTAGAAATTGTTTTTCAGGATATGCTAGATACCAGTCCAGAAAAAGAAAATTTACTGAACTATTTACATTTCCCACTAACACCAGCAAGAAAAGGGAAAAAAGATTCTGAGAGAGCGCCTTTTGTTGTGACATCGTCTGGATGGAAACGGATGCATAAAGACAAATTGGATAAAAAACAAAAAGAAGAACAAGAAAAAAATGAACGGAAGAGAAAGAGATTGGAGGCTAAAGAAGCCAAGGAAGCAATGCAAACTAAAAGCGTCAAGAGAGGTAAAAAAACACAAATGCTCAATGCGAATAAGAGATCAAATCAAAATATAAACTCCCGCAGTTCAAATAAAAACAAAGATCCTACACCTTTGGAACTTTGTAAGAAGCAACTATTCCATGGCAATGAAAAGATTTCTTCAATCCCAAAGACCAATGTTTGCGAAATCCCGGGTGCAACACGACCTTGCCATTCTACACAAGATATTACTGTGAAAGATAGGATTAACATCATTTCATCAATTACAATTAAACACGCAGGTGATCAAAGTCTTGAAACTAATGAAAATTTTTCTACAGCGAACGAACACAACGAAACTATACATGAAAATAATGAAGCAACTGAACATTTATTTAAAAACAATGTTACTATTACCTCGGGATTGTGTTTTATATGCGTACAAAACATGAGGCCGAACAATGAAGGAATAAAGTGTTATCACTGTCAAAGACATTATCATAAGAAATGCATTCAAAAAAAATTTCCTATTTTACCAGATGTATTTAAATGCAATACGTGCATAAAAAAATATTGTCAATAAGCGTAATCGCTACCAAAAATCAGACGTTAATAACGTATGATCAACAAAATTTGGATTCAGGGAAGGCCGTGGAAGTTTTAGGTCACGTCTATTATATTATCCTGCTCTTTCAGGGCCTACCCTGACAAAATTTTGTTGATCATACTTTACAACAACACTTTTACTATGAAATGTGCCCACTGCCAATCACTATCACACCAAGGTGTCAATGACTGTCAACGCTGTGCCAATAACTGGAATTAATGCACTTGAATATTCTTTTTTTTATTACACATGTATTATTAGATATATCAGTTAATGTAAATTTGTTCTCTAAAATATACACATTAAACAACTCGGAAATAATTAGCTGAATGAATTGGTCATATAGAACGTCCTTTATTACTAAAAAAAGAGACAGTGCCTCCTTAAAGTGCCAATAACTGTACTCTTTACCCTACTCACTGAAAACCGAGTTGAAAACAAATAAAATTTATACATTCTAATACACACATCTGCCTTTTTTAGCGTAACACAACGAAATTGAGGTAACGCTTATGTGCTCGTCATTCCGTCGTCTGCCTATCTGTCTGTTCCATCGAGATCTCGGTCCCTGGACCACCTAGAGACTACAGATTTTCGGTCATTTGTAGTTGCAAAGGTCTATATTTTCTCGTTACTCATCATTTACATCCTTTTCATATATGATGGCTGATTTTCAAAATTGGTGGGAAACGTGTCTTCGGCAAGTTTAATCTGGTCTCGTGGAACTGTTAAGACTGTATCATCTTATCTAGTCATCTTGTCTACCCGAATAATGAAAATGTCGGAGAAATGCTTTATACAAACCCTGGAGTAACTAGTAATTTCAAAATTGTCCCGGTGAATACATCTTAACCACTTTTTGTGATCGTCTTCATTTTTCGGAAAACGAAAAACCGTAAGGAACCTTGTCTCTTGAACTATAATTGCTTTTGCAACCAGGGACGCAGCACGTACCTATTTGGCATTTTCTTACTTATTCTGTTCGAATACAGTTAATTTAAGGGTACAACATTAAACTACTTGGAATTAATTACATTAAAAGTCGATATGACGGTCGCCGTCAGTTGTGACGTCAACGCAATAGTGGGGATGAGTGTCACGGCTAGTTCTATCGGTAGGCTACGCTGTAGCGTATCCATAGGGATCGAAAATTTCTCCTGTGTATGATCGGAATCGAAGATCGGGAGGCTGGAGGGTATTTGAAGGCATGTTAAGTTCGTCAAACAAATATTTTGGTAATAAGGTTCGAGCAGCGCCTGAATCTAGGGGAGAGTGGTTGAAGATGACGCACCTAACAGGAATCGCTTACTGTTTTTTTATTTATTGCACGAACAATGCCAAATCCGTTAAATAACTATATGGCAGTGTTGGTAATTATTATATAGGGGAAGGTGTTGTACCATGGGACAATTTTTTTAATTTATTTTGTTACAGCGGCAATTTTAAAAATTTGTTCTGTTTTTAAATATCAATAAAAGTAACATATTTTTAGCTACCCTAAATAACAATTTGAAGATTTGTTGTTACTTATTTTCACATTCATATTATGGACTAAAGTAACACATGCTCTCTGTCCCATGGTACAATAACATCGTGTACCTTGGGACTGAAATAATTGTACCTTGGGACGGGTTTTTTCACGCTAGTAACAGATCTAGTATTCATTTATTTATTAATAGTAGATAATTAATTGATATGATAACATGAAAAATCCACGGGAAACAAAAATTGCTCCATACGGCGTTCAGACCCCCCAACTGTTTTTGGTGTGGGCAATTTTTTAACAACGTCTGAACAAGGGAGATCATAAACTTCTTCGTTCTTGACAAATTTTTGCTAGTGTGGACTTACTTACACCATGTAGTCGCGCAGCATCCCTTAGACTGGTATTTTGAGTCAAAACGTCACTTACTGCTGCTTGAAGATTTGCTATGTTGATGGGGTCCCTTGCTTTACCGGTTCTACTGCGCGGCATAATAATCTGATAGAAGAAAATGCGACTAAGCAACCAGAAATCAAAAATTAAAAATGAATAAAATGCATGTACTAAAAATAAATAGAATGCATGTAGGTACCTTGGGACTGTCCCAAGGTACACGCACATATGTGTCCCAAAGTACACGTTTGACATTGAAATCTAAATTGCATGACAATTATTTATGTCTAATAAATTTACCTTTGTCTGTATGTGACACTACAAATGGAATTGAATGAAGTACACGCTGGAATCCAGAAAATTTCAAAATTCTATGTCTTCAACACGTAACGCGCGGTTAACCAATACACAAAAACTAAATTAGTGATTTGCAAAACGTAACCTGTCGCCATGTGCACGTTCTATGACAAATGTTACTGAAAATATAGAATTCCTTAAACACAACAGTGTTCCTCTATAACATACTACAACATTAACATCAATGTGACCATAGATGGCTCTAGTAGGCATTTTGTCCCAAGGTACATGCGTCCCAAGGTACAACACCTTCCAAAATTGCATTGCGTCGTCTTTTCCTTGGGGTTTGGGTAAGTTGACGCACTTATTAAAATGCACTATGGTGATAAAGGCTAACAAATTGACTCAAATAAAAATATATTATATAAAATTAAAATAAAACAAAACAACTAAAACCTTCATTTTACAAAGTAAAAGCTAAATTCAAGTAATAATGCCATTAAACACAGTAAAAACAAAACACTCAATTTTGGCATAAGTCACATACAAAACCTTTAGGAGAGTCAACACCGCTGCACTCACTGTGTGCCCAATAACCGCAAATAGTGCACCTATACCACATTTCATTTTTTGTTCCAGTGTCTCCACAAATAATACATTGGTCGTATTCAGAAGCATTGCTAATATCGTCCAGTTCATCGTCGTCACATATTTCTTTTTCGTCGACACTTATTTCACTGTCAGAGTCAGATTCCTTGTAAACTTTTCTCACAACTTTGCCTTTCTTCTTTGTTTTCACGGTTGCATTTATTTTCCCTGCTACTGCCATGGCTTTTCGGTTTCGTTTATTTTCTTTTTCCTCCAAATTCTGTTTGAAAGGGGTGCTAGTTAAGACTTCTGAATGCTGCTTTTTACGTACATTCTTCTCAATTTTCTTGGCCTGTGCTTTGGGTACAGGTAAAAGTGTTGAAATTGGAATTTGTTCCGGTATAAAATAAAGCTCTGTTGCTGACGGTACTGGTTGTTTGCTTGTTGATGGTAGCAAAGGCACTGATTGTGTGCTTGTAGATGGTTGTGGAGATAGTTCTTGAGGTAGATGTTTAGATGATGGTGATTGATGCAATTGAATTTCCTTTAAAGGTTGTTCACTCATAAAGCTATCGGCTGGTGCAAAATCTTCTTCTGAAAATTTTTCAGAATTAAGTGGATATATTCCAGCGGCGGCAAAACCTGAAACTCCTTTTTCCACATTTGCCACTTGCTCATATGCCACTTTAAAAATTTCGGCTACATCATAAGGAGTTAATGTGTTTCCTTCTTGTGGGTTAGAAATTTTTCTCTTCAAAAATAGGTTACATTGTCTGCTGTATGCGTTTTTAAGTGGTCCAAAGAAAGTAAGGTCGAGGGGTTGCAACTTATGTGATGTATGGGGCGGAATGCTAACCATAATTATTCCATGACTCTTACAGAATTCATAAATGGGCAATGAAATGTGGCTGGAATGATTATCCAATACAAAATACAAGCAATACTGGATTATCAACAGTAGAAGATACCTTTGCTTGAAAATGTTTCAGCCACATTACAAAAACTTGTTCGTTGCTCCATCCATTTTTTGTGCACGTATAAATAGAACCAGAAGGTCCATTTTTTTGGAGATGAGGACTCATCCTCAGTCGAGGAAAAATAAATAAGGGGGGCACAAAGTTTCCTGTGGCACTGACAGCGCAGATCACGGTAATGTTTTTCCCACGTTCCCAGGAACAAATAGTACCAAACTGTTTCACACCAGTTGGTGCCAGCCTTTTACCGACTTCTTTTGGTGTTGTAGACACCCCTGTTTCGTCTACATTATATATCCGATCCGGGCCAAATTTGTTTTTTGTTAATACTTGTTCTAGATTATCAAAAAATCTATCAACCTCCAGTTTGTTAAAGGCAGACACCCTACTTACACTGGTCCCTTCCGGTTTTCTCAGAGAAATATCAGAATTCCTCTTAAGAAAACTTCTAAACCAGTCTGGCCCTGCCATCGCTGTTTCCTTATTAAAACGATGCTTGATATGATTTATTTCGGCATATTTGTAAGCCACCTGTCGTAACTCAGTGGGCGTTATTCCAAAGAATAACCTTGCGAGAGATTTTACTTGTTCGGCAATTTCCCGTTCTTGTTCTTTAGAGAAAATTGGAGCGCGCCCTAGTGTCTCAGATTTCCTGTCCTTAATTTTTCTTTTAATTCCCAAATGACGTCGCAAAGTTGCCTCATGTATTCCAAAATCTCGAGCAACTGCCCGGATTTTACGACCTTTCTCTATAGCATCAAGCGCAGAGTCAAGGGAAGCTTGGCTGAAGTTCCTCCTTTCCGTTTTTCTCTGGTACTTTCCCATCTAGGACGAAAGCAATTGTTGTAAGTTCGGTAAAAAAAATTGCTGGCAAAGATAACGCAACGGTCCACTGTGCGTCATCTTTACCAATATGAAACGCGTCATCTTTGCCAATGCGTAGCCATGACAAAAAAAAATTATTTAGCAAATTCTTCTAATGTTTATGAGTGCCGCAACTACTTAAATTAACAAACATAACATGCAATTCAAGTACATACCATCCCCTAGTTCTGACAATCGGCCCTATGCTGTATCACTATCGTTAAGAATAACGATATCGTTATGCGGCGTTACCATAATTTTTTAAAAATCGGTATGCTGTATCACTCGTAGCAAGTGTGGGATAACGATTATCGTAATTCTCTATCGTTATTTTGCAACCATAACCAGAAAAACTTAACGACAGGGTTCATGCTACCCGTTTGGGGCGTAACGGTCCTGTCAGCGATTCGTTTGGAGTTTAAGCGGGTGTTAAAGAGAAAGAAAATGAATAATTTTCAAGGATGTTTGCAAGTAGCTTTGTTTGGGCAATTGGAAAATGTAATAAGGAGGTGAGTTCTGTGTCTTTTAATACTCGTAGATTATGTTTTTATTGAGACATGAGGAAAACATCCAACGAAGAATTTTACGAGACAACAGCGATCCGTTTCAGATGGGTGAAATTGATTTTCAAAAAAATTTTCGAGAATCTGTAAGGCAGTATTTGGTGGTCCATTTCCGCTGGCAAACTCCTGCCACAAATGTTTGATTTTGTTTGCCTCCAACGGTTTTGTCTTTCCGTGGAGGATTATTACTTTCAATAAAATATAACAAGTCCTCAAATTGTTTCCTAGTGGTTTTTCTCCGCCTCTTATTATTCTAAACAACTAGGTATAGGTACACGTACAATTAATAATACAAATAATTTTAAAGAAACGTCTGCATTTCCAAATCTGGCGGGCATTTGTTTAAAGATAAAGCGCGTACCACAACGCCCTCTTATATTTTATCGCTGTGGTATTTCACTCTTACACGCACTGCCGTTGCGCAGCGTTCCTTGTCTTCTAGAATGTGACACTTTTTTCCGAAATAGCCACTGCGAGATACCGGGCAACGTTACGATACCGTTAAAATATTGATACAGCATATCGCGTTTATCGATAGTCGTTGTGGTCATCATAACCTTTGATCGTGAATCTGCGATAACGATTGATCGTATAGAATAACGAGAGTGATACAGCATAGGGTTGAATGTTAACAAAGCTACTTTTTGGAAACAAACTTCTTGAACACTACAATAACAATCAACACACTATCACGTTGGCGTCATGTTTAACACTAAGCGGTAGTAGGATTCGGTTGAAACTTTGCACTGACAGTCCTGGTTACGTAAGCAATGAAATTTCCCGCGCAATTCGAAATTTAAACTATTAAATGAGGCAGTTATGAGGTGCGTCATCTTACCAACTGCGCCATCTTAACCCACTCTCCCCTACTTCGAATTTTTGGGGTTTGTCTTCGAGCAGCACTGTTGTGAAAAATTTACAGGAATCAGTAGCATCTGTATCGAAAATATCAAAAACAAGCTTATTTACGGTTCCTTCGGTTAATTCGCCAATACCATAAACATCATTTGGTTGGTCTGTTATACTCGCATAGTCGATTGCTTTAACTGGCGTGTCTCGTTTCTTTGATGAAAGGAGGGACGTGATGCAGACCTTCGCAATGTGACCTTCTTTGTTGCAGGCATTACAATGAAGACGTGTGCGATTGATTTTGCAGTCTTGTGTTCTATGATTATTTTTGGAGCAGCGTAAACATAAACCTTCAAGACCCAAAGAAGCGTAATCGATACGAGTACGTCTGTAACTCGATTGTGAGGTGTAGCGCTGTTCACTGTTTGATTGATTTTTAAAATGCTGGGCAGGTGTACGATTTTGAGATCTGGACCGCGGCTTCGGGTTAACTCGATTAACATTCTGGACAGAAGGAGCAATATTCGAAGATTCTCGAGCACTATTAGAAATGGTTTGGTTATCAATTTTTGAAGCTTCTAGTGCAAGGGCTTTATTTACGGCTTCCGAAAATGTGAGGTCTTTGATTTGAAGTAACTGCTCTCGAATTGTTGAATCTTTTATGCCACGAATAAATTGTGACCTTAAAAATAAATCGGCAACGTTAGCGTTACACGATGAGCAGATAAATGCACAATTTGATGTAAATTTTCGAAGCACAGCGACATAATCTGAGATGGATTCATTTGTTGATTGCAACCGTGATACGAATTTATGTTGTTCAATGAGTTCATTGTTCTTAGGATAGTGATTTGATAGCAGCTCCGTTAATTCTGTGTAGGTAAGCTCTCTGATATCCTTAGGTGCAGCTAATGAGCAAATTAAATCATATGAAATTGAACCGATGCTGTTTAAAAATAGTTGAGCACAAACAGGTTTATCGTGAAATATTTTCTTCAGTTTCAGGAAATTTTCGAATCGTGATTGATATTGAATAAATTTCTCCCTCGCTGGATCAAAAGGATCGAAATTTGATAGTAAGGTAATATTTGAAGGTGTTACCTGTTCAGCTGGTTGTAATTGAATTGTTTGTGTTGCAATGCGTTCCGCCGATGCAGTAAATTTATCCGCGAGTAACCGATTGCTTTCAGTGATCGCTATTAATAATTGCTTGAATTGTTTCTGGATCCATTGTTGCACATACACGACACTGTAAAACACTTTAATTTAACTGAAATAACGAATTTTAAATCCTCGTCGCCATTTTTATGTCTGTAATTATGATTAAAATCACAACTCCAAAACACACAACCATCTTTATTTCTCATTCCACTTCGTCTCCCTGTGCGCATGCCAGTGGCGGCTCGTCAGGTGAGGCAAGTGAGGCCAGGCCTCACCCTACAATATGTCGCCATATCAATTTTTCAACAGATAAATGTAATTCATATATTGAATATTGATATAATATCAGCAAATGAATGCAAAATTAAATCAATTGCGCAGTGGTTTCATGTTTCCATATTATTATTATGCTGCTAAATTGTAGGTAGAAATGAGCGCGCTCATTTTTAACACCAACGCAACGTAAAATCATTGAATATTAGTAAAACTAAGACATGAGGCCTTAGAAATATCGGCCTCGGGTACTGAAAAGATTAAACTACTCATCGTATTGCTCTGGCAAGTGCCGGGCGGTAGTGAGAGTCTGTTTCGTTAACTCATAGAGAGGCCGGAACTTGACTGGCTTCAGTGGTAAAAGATAAATGCGGGCGGAAACTGTAGTAATTTGTCTGTTGGAAACTCCTTTTTCACGACGAAGTGATATTAATAAACAGCAAATAATTACCGATGGTCGACCAACACCCCTACTAACCGTTTTGCAAGAAGAAAGTCGTACTAAGAAAACGCGTACTTTTCAACTTTCCTGGTATAACAGTCACAAATGGTTATGTGGAAGTATATTTAAGCAACGTTTATTTTGCTGGCCTTGCTTGTTGTTAGGAACAACAAAAAATGTGTGGTCGAACGATGGTTATATTGATTTTAAAAATATATCTCGTAGCGCAAAGATGCATCTTATATCTAAGGACCATATAAAAAATTCTATAAACTTAAAACGTTTACAAAATAACACTGCAACTATTTTAGATGCTTTACAAGAAGGTGCTTCGCTTTCTAAAGTTTTATATAATGAGGACGTTAGATTAAATCGACTCTTGATGACCAATTTGATAGATGTTACCCTATTACTAGGTAAACAAGAGTTAGCATTCCGAGGGCACGATGAAACGTCCACATCGTTGAATCGTGGAAATTTTCGGGAGTTTTTTACAGTGTTAATAAAACGAAATGAAGAATTGACCAAACAACTTGAAAAACATGCACATGTATTTTGTGGCCAATCCAAAACAATACAAAACGAGCTTATTTATTGTGTTAGTGATTATACTTTAGAATATGTAAAAAATGAACTAAAAGATGTGAACTTTATTGGTTTGATAGTCGATGATACCACTGATATTGTCGAAAAGTCTCAGTGCGCCATAACAATACGATATGTAAGAAAAAATGGTGATTTGTGTGAGAGATTTTTAGGGTTTCACGACGTAAGTAACGACCGTTCTGCAAATGCTTTGTTTGAACTTGTGACTAGTGTTTTAGAGCCTTATGACTACAAGGATAAACTTATAGCACAAAGCTATGATGGTGCTAGCGTAATGGCAGGAGAGATAAACGGACTTAAAAGCTAAAATTAAAAGTGTAGCACCTTCCGCAATATTCACCCATTGTTGTGCACATCGATTAAATCTAGTACTTCAACAAGGAAGTAAATGTATTTTTCTATTTCGGTGTCACAATGATGATTTTGTACAACTAGTTGTACAAAGACAGTGATTATAGTCGTTTTTTTTGGTAACTCATTTCTTAAGTTGGCAGTTACTAGTTAGTACAAGTAGGTACTTCATTGGGTACTTCCATAGCCGTCTATAATTACAAGCCATGCTGAGAAGTTTGGCAACGTTGTCCGAAAGTCAATCGGTGGGCCGATATAATTTTAATGGCGTCTTGTTGCTCTTGAAAAATTGCATTTTTCCTCTCTCCTGTGCTTCGCCTTGGTGGTTTTAATTTAATACAGAAGAAAGATACTTAAGCAGCTTACAATTGTACATATATTTTATTTATTTACAAAAGTAGATAATAACATTTTTATTTGACGTTAAAATTCGGAACGCTGTAAATTGGTAACTGCATCATAATGACGTGTTTTCCATCGAGATCTCCGAAATTGGTGAACTTCTGTCGAAAGAGGTCGAGGTGAAGCACACGCTTAGGCACTTAATTTCGGCAAAAGGACAGTAAATCGCTGTGCATCAGCGAAGTTTTATCAACGACCAGGTGTGATTCGGAATGGCAGATTTTAAGCCAGTCGCTACTCCAGTGGGTCTATGTACGAAGCTTTTAAAGAGGGGAGCCCCGTAGACTTTAAATTCCCGTACCGTGTACTCCTGGGAATAAGTCGGAAGGTTCCTTCAGAAAATCGACTTGACATGTCCGTGCTAGAATATCTGAAATATCAACTAATAAAATAATTATTGTATTCTTTCACGATAAACACTTACCGTGCTTACGTACCACGTAGTGTGTAGGTCATATTTGAGCTTGTACAGGTACTTTGAACAAATACAAGTGCTTGTAAAGGGCCCACTAAGGAGTAGCCTGCTTTAGAGGTTATGACAACAAATCGATATATTTCGTTTAGCAACTTACCTGAATAATAATTTCTGTTCATTCCGCACGGAGTAACACAAATTGTCGCAATCTCGCTCTGTTAAAACAGGTAAATAGGAATGTTACACCCAAAACACACATAAAATACACCTGAAATCTGTCAAGTTTAATTAGGAAATCGGCCTACCATGCAGTGTTGCCATAATTCTCAGCACGGCTTGTAATTATAGACGGCTGTGGTACTTCCATGTTTGAACTTCAAAATGTCAGTCTTACTACGCTGCCAACCTAAAACTTAACAGCATAAAAAGTGTTCCCAACATAAAACATGTTAGTTCTAATGTTCTCTATAGTTTCTGATAATGATTTTTTTAATTAAATTAAAGCACCTAAATAGGTAGAAAAAATAGTATGAAAAACGCGTGTTACAATGCTTTATAATACTCCTATCTTGCGGACACTCGTGGCTACGCTTCGCATCGCCACTCGTGCCACAAGATAGTCGTGTTACAATAGTCGCATTGTAACACTTGTCTTTCAATATACTATTCGCCCAAGTAGAATTTTTTTCTCTACATTATCCATACCACACGCATACTCTTCCATCACTATTCGCTAAGAGGACATTTATATTGGATTTCGATCGTTGGCAAACGTATTCGCTACAGCCAACGAAACGCCCAGGTTGGTATCGAGGCTTCTAAAAATTTTAATGTTTGATTCAAAGGAATTGGGAAGAATTTGAAAATTGTTTTTTGAAGAACTATAATCGCATGATGAGAAACTCTGGAACGAAATCAATTAGTGGAGCTAAAGGATTTTTAAAAAATTTCGAAGATTTTGAACGTTTGGGTTTTGACTACATCTTTACAAGGATAATTTTTGGAATAACGGACCATACTTTACCTTGCCAAATACAAATCTTCTTTGATTTCAAACTAAAATACTCGTTTTGCGACTTGAGTTATCGTTTGAAATCTTACCTTTGGTAGACTCTTCAAAATACGGTGATCAGGCACCAGAGTTTCCACAATACTGATGTACGTTCACTTCAGGATAGCTATCCGGGAAAATTCAATTTTGGAGCTACTTCAAGAATGACTTTGCTTTTTATCATTATCCGAGAACAATTTTTAGAACAGAAGTTGTGAAGAAACGCGTAAAAATTATTAGTTGACAATGTGACAGTGTGCGACTGTTATGTCTGAAGTGTTAAAACTTTTTAGTTTAGTTTTAACTATTCCAGTCATAGATGTTTTCGGTTGAAAAGAAACTTTTCCGTGTGTTAAGCGAATAGTAAAAACACTATTTAAGGAATACGATTGCTTCAAGAAAGATTAATCTGCATTAGCAATGTGTTCCATTTGAATAACAAAGAATTATGTTCATCAGTGCGAATTCTATGAGCAACATCATAATATAAGTTTGCTTTATACTAAAGACAGTAGCGCAATAAAAATCTTTAAAAATATAGGTATGTATAATAGTTAGGCAAAGAATATTATGTTACATATGCCATTGTGTAACTTTTCAAAATAAGTAATATTTTTTCTGGGCCTCACCACAACAAGGGTCATCAGAGCCGCACACTGGCGCCAGTGCACATGTCACATTTTTATACTTTTACATTCATGCCTGAAGGGCAATAATAATATACGATAATAATCGTTTATTTACTGGCAAGATCAGCCTTTCTTAGGCCATGTTGTTATTTCCAGGAAAATAAGTACTGATGATCTTTGCGAGATTCCCATTGTATTGCTTTAATTTATGTTTATATTGGCAAGATTCATTTTGAAATTGTTTTAGAATAATGTATAAAATTTCATTCTTTTAGAGTGCGTCATGACATACCTTCTCCTGCTACCAATAAAACTTCTTAGAAGATGGTTTTAGATTGTGTAGTTTCAAAAACCCAAAGGGGCGCAGGTTTCACAACTTCCAAAAAAAAGCCAGATTTAAACAAAAAATCTTGCAGGTACGTACATGTTTGAAACTACGTTTATTTGCTTAATATCTTTATACTAATACTTTGCTATTTGCCAGAACACATTAATGTACTTCACCTCCCCCTATAATGTCGGCAGAAATAGCCTAAATTAAGTCATACAGCTGATTCTTTATAAAAATCATTTATCGTCTTTGATCCCCATATAGGTATAGTTCTCACTTAATATTTTCAACAACGTTTTAAATTTTGTAATATTTACCAGAAACAGCAAAACATCCTCCACTTCTACACTTAGCCCTAAAAGAACCTTACAATTTAACTCCGAGCTGAGGGGAGGTAATACAACTTTGTGTATCCAAGACACACCAGTGATGTTAGTCAGGTGAATAAAGTTTAAATTAGATTCATTGAACCAACATGTCTATTAATGAATGCATTGGTTACAATGAATGTTGGTTACTAAGTATTTTTCAGAGAATCGTATTCTTAAATTTGCCATGACAATCTCAAAAGTGACCACGACTGATCAGTATAGCAACGTATTGTCCTTCAAAAGTAATTTCTGAATTGTTTTTCTTGGTAGCTCTTGCTTAACAATATGTGAAAAAAGCGGTTACACGTAGTGCTCAGGCAAACATATCTTTATTGATTTAGGCTTGTTCTTTACAGAACGATTTCGATGCTACTTTGGCAGACTAATCCTAACTGCCCTTACGAAACCTTCAGAAACTCAGTTTAGGCAGATTGCCATAAATAAGTCGAAGAATCGAACTCTTATCAGTGTCATGCACTTAATATAAACTCCTCCCGATCGGCCAACTTCGCGTAGTGACGTAAGCGACGCTCGGCCAATATCGGCATGTCGTCGGTTGCATGACAAAATTTGAAAGTTTTACGATATTGTATGTTGTTTCCTGACATGTTGCAATTAGAAAAAAAAGTTTTATGTGTGAGATGTTTAATTACAGGTTATAAACTTTACAGTAAGACACGAAAAAGTTACAATTTTTTTTTCAGGAAGATCCCTATTGGCCTTACATTTAAACATGTGTGGTAGAAATATTAAACCAAATACACCAAAAAAGGAAGGGATGAGGAAGTTTCCAGAGGTTCTCACCGCTACATTTGGTAACGTATTTCATAAATTTGAATGACTTTAATAATCAGTTAAATTTTTTTTTTTTTTAAAGTAAAAACAAGAATGAATGCGTTGTTATTGGATAGCCACAGGCACTAACAATCATTTTAGTCGCAAATGTAAAATTTTTCAAATATGTATTACATAATTCAAAATGTAGTTTCGTGTACCTCTGTATATGGTCTAGGACAATTCAGCGCCGCCGGTTAATCGCGGGCCAATTCATCGCCATTGAGGACTGTTTTTTTGTAAACTACCATACATTTTAAAAAAGGAAAGTGAGATCATTTCAATTATCTTGTACCTCTATTCCAATAAAATAAAGTCAATTTTTAACCGTGTCGCCTTCTCTTTAAGATATGCCAATATTTTACCATAAGTTTTGGCAACAGGGCACAACTAATTACAGAGCAGCGATGAATTGGCCAACGATGAAATGGCGGTAACAGTTACCATTCGTAGTGTGGTTTATGTATGATGGTTATTTTATGCCCATATATGTTAATAATAATAATGTGATTATTGTTTCAGAAGCAATTAATCCCAAGGCTCAGTTGGCGAACTTAGAGCTTAATCAGTCTCAATCTGACGCCGCTGTAGGTGAGTGGCTACGCCTTGCCAAAAATAGGCTAGAATAAAGAAAAGAATTAAAGCGACAAAAAATGGCAGCCCGTAGGGCGCTAAAAGATGTGTAATGAAGTTTTTGTATGTATTTCTATACTTACTACGAATTATGAATGAGTTGTTCTTTATTTTGTATTTTTTTAATTTTGCAAGTAAATTTTTTGAATTCTTTGTATTAACATTTGCATTATAAATCACCTTGCCTCTGTGTATACCGGGTGGTGCCTAGCGCGACGCAGCATAGGGATTTCAATGGTAATTTCTGTATAGTCCCCTAATTATTTTAGCGCAAAAGTCTAAATACGTTT